GTGTAGCTTGCTTGTGTTCTGTTTATCTTTGGTTTAGTAATCACGAGAATGCGAGAGAAAATGGGGGAAATGGTGTATAATTATGTGACTCAATAGAATGCTTTGATGTAATCAAATAGGATCTGAGTCATTGAGCAGTGAAATTTTTGATTTCTTAGAATGAACAAAGGGTTAGTGAGAGTGGATTATCTGATTTTTGATCTTATAGAATGAGAAAGACATCAACTTTTTCTGTTAGGTTCTTGCCTTGATATTGTTGTTCTATTGCAGATTCAATTGGCAACAGCAGTTTCGTCGTAGATACCCTGATGAGTTCCTGGACATAGCTAAGAACAGGTAATTCCTTACCTTTTTTAAGAATGTGTTAATGTAGACATTGTATCACTTTATGCCTTTGTCAAATCTTCTTTGATAGCATCAATCTTCTCAATGGTTTCTTGTTCATATAACTTTTTGTAAACTTCATTATGACAATTGCAAAGAATTGTGGATCAGCTTATTTTCTCGTAGCTCCTTGAGTTTCTGGTTCTTTGTTGTTGAGTAACCCGAGCATTACTACCTTGGCTGCAGTGAAAGTTTACAACTGTTTATATGCTCATAGATATATGTAGTGAAGGTTTTGTGACTAGTTCTAGCTCAGTTTAAATTTGTTCCAAGTGTAGTGAAGCTTCCATGGAAATTGATTTTCGTCATTGGTTGATCTTTCGATGTGTGAATACAGAGCCAAGGGTGAATACCAAATGGACTATGTACCTGCTCCAAGAATTACAGAGGCTGACAAGAAGAACGATAGAAAGTAAGTTGTTTGTGCCTTTATAACATGGACTTGTGTTCTCTTTTGCTGATAATCGATATTTCACTCTTGGGAAAATGCTGCTATTGTAGGTCGTTATACAGAGCTCTTGACAAAAAGTTGTATCTTCTCATCTTCGGTAAGCCATTCGGAACTACTAGTGACAAACCCGTATGGCATTTCCCTGAAAAAGTCTATGATTCTGAGCCGACGCTTCGCAAGGTAATGGTTTATTACCACTACTTGAATCCACAACACCATCAGTTCTGTTCACATGCTTACTGTTGACTTGGTTGTCATGTGAATTTGGTTTTTGTAGTGCGCGGAATCTGCTTTGAAGTCAGTCTTAGGAGACCTCACTCACACATACTTTGTTGGAAATGCTCCAATGGCTCACATGGCAACACAACCTACAGAAGAAACGCCTGATTTGCCATCTTACAAGGTAAGAAAACAAAGCTTGACGGATTTTTACTACAGCTTCTATCGAATCATTGAACTTGACGGATTCTTTTTATTCTTCTCTTTTTATGTTGTTGTTGTGTAGAGGTTCTTCTTCAAATGCAGTGTAGTAGCAGCTTCTAAATACAACATAAGCAACTGCGAGGATTTCGTGTGGGTAACAAAAGACGAGCTTTTGGAAATCTTCCCTGAGCAAGCTGAATTCTTCAACAAGATGATCATTAGCTGAGTCACACTCACCTTCACAAAACTCATATTTGAGTCTCTTCTTCTTTATCACTCAACAGAATCTTCCTGGTCACTGTAATAATCTTCACCATGTCTCTGGTTTTGTTGTAGTCAGAGGTCACTTGAAGGAATTTTTTTAGTTGTTGACAGTTGATCTGAAATTGTTGAATGTAGTTTCAATTTCAGTTCTATACGAATGAAATTTAAATTATAACAAAAAAAAATACAATTGTAATTTCTAGCCCACTGGGCTGAAAACCGGACTCGTTTTACAAACCCAAATCAATTTTACCGGTTTAATTTTTTAATTATATTGTGGAGAAAAGAAGCAATTCAATAAGCCCTAGCAAGTTTTGTTGTTTCTGTCTATGTCACTGCTCTTCCTCAGAAGAGCCAAGCCGTTATTTGTATCTTCTTCTCCTTCTCATGCCACCTTCTTATCTCCGACGCTTACGAATCTACTAACTCGTTCGTTTCACGGTACCGGAATAATGGTACGGTAGCGATTTCCGGTTGTTTACCGTTTGGATTATCTCCGGATTTCGAAATTGTTCTGCGATTTGTTTAAGCCTGAGGATCGAATGTTTGTTTTTTCTGAATTTTGCAGTCCGAATCAGAGAAGAAGATCCTTACAGAGGAAGAGCTTGAGCGGAAGAAGAAGAAGGATGAGAAGGTTTGACTTCTGATCTTTTTCTTCTATATACCTTAGAAACACTTTCCTGATTAGAATCGACATGGTTATGTTGTTTGTTATACTCAGTAATGCTTGGCTTTAACAATTAGAATCTCATAGACGAATGTGGTCGAATTTTGTTGTTCGATCAAAGGAATGCTTAGAGAGATTAGATAGTGATGCAATTGGTTGTGGTGGGAGATGTTTGCATAGGAACAACTATGGATTGTCCACTCGAAAAATGGAAGTGACGAGATCGTAGATAGATCGTTTTTTTTTTTTTCAGTATATCAGAATGAAGAAGTTTCCTACACTAGTAGCTTGCCACAAATCTTCATTTCATTTTTGCTGTGTTGAGAGTTAGTTACAATAAACGCGGCTTTTGGTTATGTTAATCTTATCCATTTCAACTTATCGTTTTGGACATCATTTAGTATTTACTCCGGTACAGCATCAACTTTAAAAGTGATTTGTGAAGAACATTTTATAGGCTAGAGAAAAGGAGGTGAAGAAGCTAAAAGCTTTGGAGAAAGCGAAGCTCGCTGAACTGAAGGTAATGTATGAGGAACTCCAGTTATGCATTTCGGGTTCCTGCTACATATATGTATTTATATGCAAGTCACATCCATAGGTTTTTCCTGGAACTAGAAATATTTACTATTGTGTGCTTTTCCTATAGAAACAAGCCAAAGATGGAACCATTGCCTCTAAAAAGAGCACAAAGAAGAGTTCCAAACGGGAAGCATCAGAAGAGAATCCCGAGGATTTTGTGGACCCTGAAACTCCTTTTGGTGAGAGGAAAAGGCTCTCGTCACAGATGGCCAAACAATACAGTCCTGCTGCTGTAGAGAAATCGTAAGTGTGTAGAACTTTTTCTTTTAACATAAATTTGAGCGCAATTCTCTCCCACAAAGATTCCTCTAGATAATCTCCCTGTTATTCTTTAATTGGATCAGATGGTATGCTTGGTGGGAAAAATCTGACCTTTTTAAGGCGGATGCTAAGAGTTCTAAGCCACCCTTTGTTATTGTAAGACCTTATTCGATTCTTGAATTCATGTTCGTTCTGGCTTGTACTTTGTTTTATTGACTTCTCGGATACTTAAAATTCTCCAATGAAATTCAGTTGAGAAAATATTGAGCTTTGATGTTATTAGTACAAGTCTGAAGATTTTTTTTGAAGTTTTTCTTTAATCCTATACTTGATTCTGCAGGTTCTTCCTCCTCCAAATGTGACTGGAGCCTTGCATATTGGCCATGCGCTAACATCTGCAATTGAGGTTTCTTTAGCACATTATTTTGGTGCTATTTCTCTGTCTATTTTTCCTTTTGATTATCAGCGGATTAAAATTTGCTGATGCAGGATACAATCATTCGTTGGAAGCGAATGTCTGGGTATAATGCTCTGTGGGTGCCCGGGGTTGACCATGCTGGTATAGCTACACAGGTTCGCAGTTACCATATCACTGATATTTTCCTATCTCATGTCTCATATTCGTACAAATTCCAGCCTACAGAGTGAATCCTCTTTTAGCTGCATGCTTTGTGGAAAATTTATTTGACACATTTCATCATAATCTTTGTTTGGGTGTACATTCTAGGTTGTGGTAGAGAAACAGCTCATGCGTGAAAGAGGAATGACTAGGCATGACGTTGGCCGTGAAGAATTCGTAAATGAAGTGAGTTGAAAATAAAAATACGCTCATGAATCATTTTTCCATTTTGCGTTGTTTTAAAAATCCCTTTTGGTTGCTTACAATCATGGAATAGGTGTGGAAATGGAAGAACCAGAAGGGTGGCACAATTCTAACACAACTACGGCGCCTAGGAGCTTCTCTTGATTGGTCTCGTGAGGTAAAATTCAGTGATCTGACCTCTTTTGGACTAATGTTAATGAATATTGCCAATCTTTCATTTATTCCGCCATTAGATAAACTTATATGTAAACGACCCTTTCATCATCATTTGTGTCCTTGGGCTGTCCGTCTAACAGATGTGTTTATGCCTGTAATTTGTAGTGCTTTACAATGGACGAGCAAAGATCAAAAGCTGTCACTGAGGCCTTTGTACGGTTATACAAGGAAGGGCTTATCTATAGGTATGTTTAAGTTCTGAATTTGTTCTTCGACTTAAGCTATGGAATTCTCGTTTTAAAAATCCGTGGAAGCAGGAATATACTAAAAAAATAGAAATATAGTATATTCTTTTAGTCGACAAAAAAAAAAAATAGTAGTACTCTTTTACCTTTTCAGTCACATTGTTGAAAGCAAGCACATATAACTGAAAGGTATACCATGACCTGTGCAGGGATATTCGGCTTGTTAACTGGGATTGTGTTTTGAGAACAGCCATATCTGATGTTGAGGTAGGCCAGCAATTGTTAGACTATGATTATTGGACTGAACCCTTTTCATGCGGAGTGTGTCTATATCTGTAGGTTGAGCATATCGATATCAAAGAGCGAACGCTACTAAACGTTCCTGGCTATGAGAAGCCAGTAGAATTTGGTCTTCTTACTTCATTTGCTTACCCTCTGGAGGGAGGCTTGGGCGAGGTTGTTGTTGCCACTACAAGGGTGGAAACAATGCTTGGGGATACTGCCATTGCTATTCATCCTGATGATGCAAGATACAAGCATCTTCATGGGAAATTTGCTGTGCACCCATTTAATGGACGGAAATTACCAATTATCTGTGATGGAATACTTGTTGATCCAAAGTTTGGTACTGGTTGTGTTAAGGTACGTTCTCGCTCTTATACATTTGGATGCTATGTTTTTGCCCCTGTTAGTTAATTTTCTTGCATGAAAGTTACTTAATTCTTCTTTTTGTAGATTACTCCTGCCCATGACCCCAATGACTGTGAGGTCGGAAAGCGTCACAATCTTGAATTTATAAACATATTCACCGATGATGGAAAAATCAACACAAATGGCGGGTCTGAATTCACAGGGATGCCACGCTTTGCAGCACGTGAGGCAGTTGTCGAAGCTCTGAAGAAGCAGGTAATTTTTAAACTCTTCACGTAACATATCATAGCAAGTTTATTGATTGTTGGTTTAAGAAGATGTGTTTACACCGTGGGTGGTTGCTTGTAATTGTTTTTTGGGATCTAACCTTAACTGTTTTTCAATATTATATTCCAGGATCTGTACAGAGGTGCCAAAAACAATGAAATGAGGCTTGGACTTTGCCAAAGAACCAATGATGTTATTGAGCCTATGATTAAGCCTCAATGGTATGTCAATTGCAGCAAGATTGGAAAGGAGGCTCTCGATGTTGCTATCACTGATGAAAACAAGAAGCTCGAGTTTATACCAAAGCAGTACACAGCAGAATATAGAAGGTCTCTTTCATCTATTATTTACTCTATGGTTCTATCATTACCCCATCTCTTGACAATCACAATGGACCTTGCAGATGGCTAGAAAACATACGTGACTGGTGTATTTCAAGACAGCTTTGGTGGGGACACAGGATTCCAGCATGGTATGCCACTCTAGAGGAAGATCAGCTCAAGGAGATCGGTGCGTACAATGACCATTGGGTTGTTGCTAGAACCGAGGAAGAAGCTCGAAAAGAGGCTGCTCAAAAATATTCTGGGAAGAAGTTTGAACTCACACGAGATCATGATGTACTTGATACGTGGTTTTCTTCTGGGCTCTTTCCATTATCTGTTCTGGGATGGCCCGATGAAACTGAAGACTTCAAAGCCTTCTATCCGACATCTGTCCTAGAAACTGGACATGATATTCTCTTTTTCTGGGTTGCTCGTATGGTTATGATGGGAATGAAACTCGGTGGTGATGTTCCTTTTAGCAAGGTACTTAACATGGATCACACCTTCCTTATCAATTTTTTTCAATGGCAAGTCTTATCTTGCGACCTATACTTATATGCCAAAACATATTTGTTGTCTTTGCTATAGGTTTACTTGCATCCTATGATACGTGATGCACATGGGCGTAAGATGTCAAAATCTCTTGGAAATGTTATTGATCCACTTGAAGTAATAAACGGGGTAACTCTTGAGGGTCTTCATAAGAGATTGGAAGAGGGTAACTTGGATCCAAGAGAGCTGGTTGTTGCCAAAGAAGGACAAATGAAGGACTTTCCAAAAGGTATTCCTGAATGTGGTGCTGACGCTCTTCGGTTTGCACTCGTCTCTTACACTGCTCAGGTACTATCCATTGCACACGACCTTCACAACCTCTTATATGTCCTACAAAATATGATCTTGTAAACTAAGAATTGCTCTACTCTTGCTTGTTTTGTAGTCTGATAAAATAAACTTGGACATCCTCCGAGTGGTTGGATACCGTCAATGGTGTAATAAGCTGTGGAATGCCGTCAGATTTGCGATGATGAGGCTTGGCGATGATTATAACCCTCCGCAGTCTCTGAGCCCTGAAACCATGCCATTCAGCTGCCAATGGATTCTCTCTGTACTGAATAAGGCAATATCAAAGACAGTGGAGTCACTGAATGCATTTGAGTTCTCGGATGCAGCCAACACAGTATATGCATGGTGGCAATATCAATTCTGTGATGTGTACATTGAAGCAATCAAGCCTTATTTTGCTGGTGACAACCCGGCGTTTGCTTCAGAGAGGGCTCATGCACAACATGCTCTCTGGGTTTCTCTAGAGACTGGTTTGAGACTGCTTCACCCGCTTATGCCTTTTGTTACTGAAGAGCTATGGCAACGGCTTCCCTCACCAAAAGACTGTGAAAGAAAGGCCTCGATCATGATATGTGACTACCCATCTGCCATAGAGGTCAGTATGATCTTGTTTGTAATTTGTCATAATTGTTTGGGTTTCTAACTCTTTTTCTTCTGATGTCATGAATCCAGAATTGGACAAATGAAAAAGTGGAGTCCGAAATGGACACTGTAATAGCTAGCGTGAGATGCCTGAGGGCACTCCGGGCAGAGTTGCTGGAGAAACAGAAAAATGAAAGGTATATATGATTAAATCCCAATCCAAAGAATATATAGTCACTGAAAGTCTGAAATACTTTAAGCTTTTCGTTTTGTACATTTTTCTCAGGTTACCTGCTTTTGCTCTGTGTGAAAACAATTTAACATCCGAAATTGTAAAATCTCACGAATTGGAGATCAGAACCCTTGCAAATCTATCGTCCTTGGAGGTAAAAGTCCATCTTCGGTTTCTTTCTTATCGTTTCTCTAATGTTTTTGTGTAATCTTCTCTGAATTTCGATGGGGGTTTGGTATAGGTTCTGTTAAAGGGAGAACACGCAGCCCCACCTGGATCAGTTGAGACTGTGAACGAGAACCTCAAGGTGTACCTCAAAGTAGACAGAGCCATTAGCACCGAAGCTGAACAAGAAAAGATCAGAAACAAGATTGACGAACTACAAAAGTAAATTTCCCTAAACCCATAATTGAATCAAAACAAAAATGTTTACACAAATTTAATCCTCTTTTGACATTTTTTTTTCTCCCTTCATCAGACAAAAGGAGAAGTTGCAGAAGATGATGAGCATGTCTGGGTACGAAGAGAAGGTCCCCGCAAACATAAAAGAAGACAACGCGACAAAGCTTGCTAAGATTCTCCAAGAATTCGATTTCTTTGAGAAAGAAAAAGCTCGTCTCGTTGCAGAGACAGGAGGAAACGCAGGTAATCAGCAGTGATCAGAAGAAGTGAAAGCACAAGGTCACAGTTTCTGTTTGAAAAAAGACAAAACACATGAAATATTTCGGATTTGAGAAACTATATTTGATGTTGTTGTGAACCGGTTTTGACTTATTATTACCACTCTTTGAAAAAGAAAATAATGTTTGATTAGTTTTGGACAGATTAATCCCAAAAGACAACTTTTTGGTTAAACGGCAAGATCATCCGAATCGTTCTTTATTAACCGGGTCTGATTCCTAATGGGTCCGCAGACAATAATTGTAATTAAAAAAGTTATGGGTCGTATATGTAAATAAAATGAAATATATGGACCGCTTATTGGCGGATAATATATTTTACGAAGCTGAAATTCGAGTTTATCTTAGAGCATGTTCATCAAATAGTATCTATATAAGTATCTCAAAATACATTAAAATATAAAGAATAATATAATATTATATAAATATCTCAAAAATTGAGAGACTCATCTAAAAGTATCTCAAATGAGAAATTTTGAAGTTAGTTTCTCAATTTTTGAGATATCG